TTTCTCATTTGAATAAAGTGTGTAATTTCTCCTTCAGTTCTCTGTGGAAAGGGCTAAGCATAATAGAGCTGAGGAAGAGATATTAATGTTAGTCACAGAAAAACGACATAATCCGAGTTGGAAAGGACTTCAGGAGGACTCCACTCTTACTTGGATCAGGTCAGAGTTGTGTCCTTGGTCAGATCAGGTTGGCCCTGGCTTTACCTAGATGTTCCTTGAAAACGAGAACAGAGCATGCCTCTCTGGGCAACCTGCTCCACTGCCTGACTGTTGTCATGATAAAAAAGATTTTCATTATATACAGGCTGAATCTCTCTTGTCCATCATCCTTCCACCATGTGCTGCTATGAAGAACCCAGCTCCTCACATGGATAATCTTCCTGTAGGTACTGAAGGGCTTCTGACAGGTGCCCCTGAGGCTGCCTTTTCCCCTGGCTCTACCTTTCCAGCTGAGGTGCTCCAGCTCCTGATCATCTTTGGAGCACTGCCCTGAACTAAAGATGATTAAGTTGCCTTCAGATACAGAAATAGAAAAGATTCATCAGTTCAGCCTTATAATCAGATGAACCAGTTCTGGTAAGAATGAATCAAGCAGGGCTCTCTCACAGTGTTGCACATTCTACATAACAAGTATATATAGTGTATATAACATTCTATACGACAAGTGTATAACATGAATGTACGGAATTATATAGGTGAAACGTTATCCTAATGAAACCACTAACTACCACGGAACCACATTTTTCTTCAGAATGTTCTCACAATCTTTTATAGAGTCACTCTTAGATACAATGAACTCCCTTTTTCACATTTGTTCTTTAATCAGAGATACCTTGATACTAGTAACAGCAATGTGATCTATTTGTAGATAGACATTTTTCATGAATACTTGAAACAAGATGCAAGGTCTCTTTCTTTCCTACTATAAATATACATTCTGAAAAGAAAAAATACTAGAAAAATGTTCTTTGTAGTACAACTTTTCCCACCACCCTATAATGCACTTATGTCATGGTTTGACCAGGAAGTGAGTTTCTGGGAAAATTGTGGTCAAACCAATCAGTGGCCAGAATTGAAATTGGCACCTGGTGTGGCCACTGGGGACCTGGATACGCCTCTGAGAACACACAGGGGTTAAAAGCAGAGGATTCCCAGAGAACTTCCTTTTTTGATCCAGCGGTGAGTGGAGTCTGAACCTCTCCCCTGCCCAGCTGCGTCTGGGCGGGGGAGGGGGAGGCCATGCGGCCTGAGGGGAGGGAGGCCGGAGCCCTGCAAGGTGCAGGGGTGGAGCAGACCTGGGATGTTTGGGCAGCCCACTGCCCCCGGGAGAGAGTGATAGAGACTGTGCTGGCTTGAAATTTGATATCTTGTGCTGGCACCATGGCCAGGAGAAGGAGGGGGGGGCAAGGTGCCCAGCAGCGGGCAGACCTTGGCTGAGGTTTTAACCCCATTGGTGCTGAAACAATGGAAGCTGTAAAAAAAAATTGATCCTCCCCAGCTAAGAATTGAGAGGAGATGGAGGATGGGCAAATGAGACCAAGGCTTGAGTGGGTGAAGAAATGCCAGCAGATGAGAAGCGCCCTAGATGGAGGAGATGATTGGAATGGCCTTTTGGGCTGAACTTTTCTCTTACATGGCCATGGGATGAAACCAATTTCTTCCTGTATTGTAGAGACTGCACCTTAGGGGAGGTGGTTGGCCAGGAGCCAGGAGTGAGAAAGCTATTGTGAGAAGAAGTAGAGGGAACTGATGAAGAGGGTGTGGTGGAGCCCTCTGCCTTCAGCAGAGAAGGATCTCCGTTCATGAGGCCCCTCGGCCCCAGGGGGTGAAATATGGGGGGACATGTGTCCCAAATGGTGAGAGGCTGCCACTTCTTGGAACTGGGCGAGGCATTCTTAAAAGGACCTAAGAAGCAGTTTGGATCCATGGCCAGTGGTGAGAGCACTGGACATGGAAGGAAGATGGTCACCACGGCAGATTCTCTCCGGGCGGCTGCCACGTGTGACATGGAAGCACAGGAGGTTCCAACTGTGTTTCCTGGGGAGGCCCATGGTGCAAGAGAGAGACTCCTCTCTCCTGATGAACTGGGGGCAGGTTGTGTGAAGGGTGGTGCTGGACTGAGAATTGAGTGTTAGAGGGGATTGAGTGTTAGAGGGGTGGTAGGAGGAGGAGTGTTTTGGAGGTGTTCCATTGTGGATTGTTGTGTGTGTTTTGGGTTTTTTTCTTTTTTTTCCATTTTGTCTCTATGTTGTAGATTAATAAAGTGTTGGTTTTTGGTTTTTTTTTCCCCTCCATTTCCAAGTTGGAGCCTGCTTTGTTCTGTTTCCAGGTCCAATCTCACATTAACCATTTTGGAAATACACCTTTCATGGGGGCACTGGCATTGTGCCAGGGTCAAACCATGACAACTTATCAGCACACAGTATACTTTAGGCTGGGAATCACAAAAATGGCAAGGGGGAAAAGTGAGGAAAAAAGCAAATTCAATAACTATATCAAAAGATATTTAAGCAAAGGAGGAGTATTAATTACCAAGTCCAACATTAAAAATGTAGCCAACACTAATGTCAATGGTAAAATCAATTTCAAGCTGCAAGATCTCCAAAGGAGGATTCATACACAGATTTGAATTGACTCTCAAACTGGAGACATGCCTGGAGAAGGACTATTGCAAATCAATATGCTAGACACAGAGGCCACCTGTGATACTTGGAGCTGAAATCTGCCAGCATGGCCCACTTAATTAGTGCCTTTCACTGCACTCACAACTTTATTTGGCAGCAAAAGTCAGACCTCTGTCAAGAGCCTCAAGTGTGATGTCCAATTCAATTATTACAGGACACATTAAAATCTGGCTTATACGGTTAAGAAATAACAGCAACCTATTTTAATTTTGGGATTAGAATCTCCCCAGTCCCTTAAAAGAAAAACATTTTCAGCCTGTTCAGTTTCAACATTCACGTTAATAACCTAATTTTCCTTAATAAGACAGAAACTGAGAGCTTAGTAAACTTGTTCTCTACCAAATACAAGATATTAAAATTTAACCACATTAAAAAAAAAAAACAAACCAAAACCTTCAATTTCTTAACTGTCATTGAGAAGAAATTATCTACTGTAGGTTTTCTTTGCACATTCTTCCCTGTACTCTTCAAATATATCATTAAGTAGAACAAATCCAGGGCACTTATATTACCTATCACCAACAGAAGCCAAATTCACTTTCATTTTTGGACAGTGTAATGCACTGTCTTTACAGTGATATCAATAGGTCCATTCTGCTCACACTGAATAAGTGTTCTTCCCCCTTTCCTCCCCTGTGTATCCCCTCCTTATTCTCCCATGCCAGGAAAGGAAGGAATTCTACTTTTCCTGCTCAAATATCCAATAATCATTTCAGCCATCTGTTTCAATACAAAAAACTCTTCATAGAAGTCCATCTAAAAGGCAAACCATTAGAGACTAAGATGATTTATTTTAGTTTAGTGTAGTGTCACTAGTTTAATAAAATAAAAAAATTACTAAGGATTTGGGAAGTACTATGGCTTACCTATGTAAAAACTCACTCTCTTGCCAATACATTCTATCGCTGCTGACAGACATTAGAACATTCCTTTCATCTCTTTCCTCTTCTTGCAGTTTAAGCTATCCCCTTAAGGAGTATTTGCTTTCTCTAAGATCGATTATAAATTGTATGCAACATGAAAACCTTACACACTTCCTCTACCATCTGTAAGGCTTTTATTTCTACTTCTTAAAAAAGAATTAACTCAAAAACCTTTTATTTGTCTTTTCATTTTGGGTAAATAAACTAGGATTACTTTTCTGTAAGAGAATTCTTTAAAAAAGGATTGCTATTTCCAGATATGTGTATCTAAATTAGAGAAGCATCTTTCAATGCAATCAACCAAACATTCAAATCTAGTGAGACCAAATGTGGAATGCAAACCGTGGTAAAGAGTAAATATGGAGTATACACATCGACACACACAAACACCCCCTCTATTCATTAAGAAAATATGATCCAATACAGGTTTGCTTTCTTTCAAATAATTCTTTCTGCATCCCAGTGTGATTCCAGGATGTGAAAATTAAGATAAATTTTATGGGTCAAATTCTTCTTAATGCTACATATTCTCAAGTCAACTGAAATTGACAACTGGATGCACTGTCAGAGGGTGGAACTGGCACAGAAAATCACAATGTAAGGAGAAGTTCTTAAAACTAGACATGACATAGTGCTTTCAACGAAGGAGGAGACAATTCTCAGTGTGGCCTGGGAGAAGGAAAAGCAGAGAGAAGCAGAAAATTTGACACAATAGCTAACAGATTATCAGATAAGGATCAATTATCAAAACCAAGCCAACTGCAAGATGTTCATAATGGGTGTGGTTGAATCTAACTCCATTACATAACTAAGTCTAATGGAAGCAAAGCTACACCAGTTCCTGGTCCATTTAGAGCTGTAAAGAGGAAAGACTAGTTTATAACTTTTGTATATACTTCTGTATTTTTGGAAGCACAAAATAGCTATTTAAGACTTCATTATGGCAGCTTCATTAAGTTTTCAATAAAAATTTTCTTCCTCTTTTGTCTTGTTTTTTTTGTTGTTTTTTTTTTTCCTTTTAAACTGAAATGTCCCTAAAAGAAGCCTGGGTAACTTGCAAAATCAAACTAAATCAAAAACAGATTCATGTATTCATGTAGATTATTTAGCAGTAACATTTCTAGCAGTGCGAGTTCACAAATATTATCAAATTGATATTCATGTTATGACAACTGACTGATGAAAACCAGAAGCTATTCTGACATATGTTTTAAGCCATTTTTCTGCTACTGGATGACTATTCCATCAATGGAATGACTATCCGACAAATGTCAGCCTGGTTAAACTTTTATTCAAGTGAAATGTGAAGATGCGTCATGTCCTCAGCTGAGTTCCAGAACTACTCAGGATGTCATGCAGCATTTAATTCAGCAAAAAGGATTAAACATCTAACCTGGAACAGCTATCTTCCCAGCTGTTGGATGATTCATTTCCATCACAAGTCCATTGTGCAGTACCTAGGAAAACAAAACAAAACAAAACAAAACATGTATGTAATATAAAATACAATCAGTTCCTAAACTCAAGAGGAAAAAAAGAGATAAACATTATCATGTTCTTTCACAGACTCTCTGAAAATACAAGGAGCTACAACACAAGCAGTCTACTTAATGTGAAGGAAAAAAGCTTTGATGTTTGACATTATTTTTATTCATGCAGCTAAATAAATGCTTCGCTAAGACTGGACATGTCTAATATATCTTTAAGCTCTTAGAGTCATCATCAAAGATAAGAAACTGAGCTGCAAGCATGTTACACTTTCAACCACCAACAGACAGCTGGTACCAACACAGAATGACTATTAAAACCTTCACACCCTTTCATATTAAGCTTCAATATGTACTAAAGGCCTATACATAAACTATGTTATCTTGTTTGTTTTTGCACTGTTAGTTTTGAGCTTGTGATGGATCATACTGTGAAATGCTGTCTTAACAGCTTTTACAAACATTTTGGAAAGACTAAATAATTTTGATGTTTTTTCTGTTCTTTTGAGTGGGTGTGCCATACTTCAAGCTCTGTATATCTATATGGGATGATTATTCATCTCAATTTTCAGATCTTTTTTATTAACTTCAGCCAGAAAACAATGTGTGATACCAAAATTGTCAAGTAAGAGAGAAAAATATATTTATAATAGCAAACTCACTGCTCTTGTTTCTATAGTTCTGCACCAAAAGCCACTAAACAATATTTATAATTTCTTTACTTATTATTCTTCCATCCTTGTAATACCGTTACCTTAATTATATAATCAGAATTATTAAAAAAAATAGGCACCCACTAGGCAAATACTTTCATATCCAATGTAACAAGTCTAGAATGTCTTGCCAAATGTATCAGCTATAGGAAATTAAACATGGGAAAAGCCTTTTAAGTTATCATCTACCTATTCACCTTATACCATGAACAACACAGCAACCTTGACTATTAATGACAACTCTTGGTCTAATAAATCTTTAAAATTTCAAGTTAAGACAATACTATATGAATACACAGGAAAATCACAGTTCATTGGAATTTCCCTATTCTGAACTGCTGCTTTCTTCTAGGCCAGTGTCTTACAGACTGTCTCCTTCACAATTCTACATAAGAATTCTACATAAGAATTTTCTTATGTGATCTGCACCTTGTTCTGCATTTTTATTACTAGAAATTTTTCTCCTGATACATAATCTGTCTGTCTATTAAACATCTTTATTCTTGTCTTTTCCCAAAATGAACACAGAAAACAAATCACTATCATCTTTATAACATTCTTTTATGTACTGGAAGATTGTAATCACATCCTTCCTCAGTCTGTTCTTTTCTAGACTAAACAAAACTAATTCCTTTAACCATTCTTTCCAGGTCAAATTTTGTGAACCCTTTATCTGTGTAGAATAGCATGCTTAAAAAATTCCCATTCCTGAACAGGTGGTGTCAAAAGGTCAGGTCAGCTTTCTCTTAGCTTGTGAGATGAACTTATTTAGTTGACATTTAGAAATCCAGATATTTCCAATAATAGATGTTGGTGGAACAATGTCTCTTAACTGGTCTAATTGCTTGGAGGTATACCAAATCATTAGTTCTATTTCTTTTTCAGAAGGTTAAAGGCAGTTTTGGTGGACATTCAAGTGAGACATCCAGAATTATTTTTCCAAATGACAGAATTAGAAAATATAATTGCTTTTTAAAACTTATATTTAGAATCTTTCCAGTAATGCCCTTAATCAAACCGTATTGAAAGTTTTGCCTCCTTTCTCCATAACTTATATACACGAGCCTGCTTTATGTATTTAATTGATTATCTGGACCTGAATGCAAGAAAACACACTCATTTGAACCTGAAATCCACAGCGCGCTGAGGTGAATAAGCAGTTCTTTAGATGGCAAGTTAAAGCATGTACATAAAAGTGGATCCAGTTGTTTAAAGAAAAGCATACAAATCGTCTAGCAGCTACTCAAGACTCCACAAAAATAATGCTTTTCTCTGTTCTGAGTCTCTAAATTCTTCTCTTAAGACAGACCTAATTTCTTTTAAAATACTCTTTTTGTTATACTTAAATTCCAGATCCCTTTTCTTCATAGAATGAACTACAAAAACCCTGAATTGTCTTTGAGGATCACTACTACTCCTTTTAAAAGAATTGCTTAAGATGCAGTCAACCTTCCTTATTATTTTCATTATTAGTACAGTGTTGAATTTCCCACTCAGATATATTTTTTACTCAAAAACAGTGAAATTTCTATTAATCTTATTTTCTACAGTGATTAGGCATATAGTGATACACCCAGTTCCAACTTTTCTTTTGAAGAAAGTAATCATCAATAAATGACTGGTCAAGAACTATAGATGTTTTTCCCTACACGAGCAACACTGTTTAAAATAACTGTGTAATTTCCCATTCCATGCATTGCACTATTAGGACTCTCAAAAACAAATTGAAAAAAAAAATGTCACCAACTTCTCATGTGTATTCTTAAAAAACATGGAGGATTACTGCATTCTAGTCTTGGGAGAATGCAACGTTCACATCCTCGTCCATCAAGGACAAGGAAAACCAGAGGAAAAGGTAAGAGACACAACTTTCTTCTCCATTGTCTTGTATAGCTGAAATATTTCTGATGTGGTAGAGCCCTCTACTGTGTCTGTATTCACCTGAACTCATAATAAGGAATTGATGAAGCAAGAGAATCATGTAAAAAAATTATGGCCATCAATAGATCGATTTTTTTTTTCCATATGGGTTATTTTGCAGGGTGGAAATACTATATGGTCTATTACCACATGGGAATTTCTGAATAAAATAATGTTTGGGTGGCATTTTACAGTGAGATCACTGTAAAGAAGTCAGAAGCACAGTCTTCAGTCTTTCAACAAAAACTGTTTAATATGTACCAAGAACAGTGTGACCAGCAGCACTAGGGAAATTATTCTTCCCCTGTACTCAGCATGGTGAGGCTGCACCTTGAGTTCTGCATCCAGTTCTGGGCTCCTCAGTTTAGGAAGGACATTGAGGTACTGGAATGAAAAGGGCAACAAGGCTGATAAAGGATCTGGAGCATAAGCCCTGTGAGGAGCAGCTGAGGGAGCTGGGGTTGTCAGTCCTAGAGATAAGACCTATAACTACCTGAAAAGAGGCTGCAGTCAGGTAAGGGTTGGCCTCTTCTCCCAGGCAGCCAGTGACAGGAGAAGAGGGCAGTCTCAAGCTGCTCCAGGGGAGATTTAGGCTGGACATTAGGATTTCTTCTTTAGCATTTCTTCAAAGAAAGGATGATCAGATATTGACATGGACTGCCCAGGGAGGCGGTGGAGCCACTGCCCCTGGAGGTGTTTAAGGAAAGACTGACTCTGATATAGTTGACATTATGGTCTTCAGACTTATGATCTCAGACGTCTTTTTCAACCTAACTGATTGATTCTGTGACACCATTTTATTTTATTCCAAATATAGACATCACTTCAACTCTGATGATGCATGTAACTAACCACCCATGACAACACGGTTTCTCTTAAAACTGCCAGCAAAGTTTCAAGTCTACCTATTTAAATTCTACCTAAGGTAAGCTTGTAAATCCCCATTAAAGGAGATACTAGAATCAGGAACATATCAAACCTTGTAGCTGCACCTCCCTCCTTCCCCGATTCAAATTTTAAGAGTTCTCTTTAATGTAAAGCTAGGCACTCAAAATATGCATTTGTACAGGTACTACTACTCCTTCACAGATTCATCTAGAGTTTAGTGAAAAGGATTCTAAGGGCCTGAAAGGAAATTATGTAACCAACTTCTCCATATTTCTGTAGCCACAAGATAGCTGGCTGTTGGTAAATGAAATTACCACTCATGCCTCCAAACCACAAAAAAGTAATAATAGTTTTCCCTGTACATGCTGAACATAGACCAATGGCCATAATCACCCCCTGAAAAAGTAACAGCACATGTTGTGAAGAAAATGCCATACTGGAATTGCATCCCACATACTGAAAGTACCCCTTTCCAAATAAATATATGTCAAGTCATTTGAAATTTGGAAAGGATATATCCCCATCTGATGCCTGGCCCTGCTTGATCTTGTATTCCTAGAATGTTGTTGCAGAGCAGAATGGTTTGCATGTCAGTGTGTTTCCCTTCCACTTATTTTCCAAAGCAGAAATCCCAATATATTCAAGTTCTGTTGCAAAGTTTGTCCTTCATCACTAATAACTTCACTGTTCTTCTTTCCAAACACAGTTTCTAATATGCAAGGGGCACTTAGAGAAGGTATTAGCTCTTTACTTTATATATCTAAGTTTTGTATTAATGAATCACATCTATCTCCACTTTACTTATCCCTCATATTTGAAGTTTTTTACCATTTCATGAGACAGAACATAATTTAAAGAAAAGTTGCTTTCTTAACAAATTTTTGAATTAATAAAATCTGGCTTTGTTGTTTCTGATTGCCTATTAATTTACCTCTTTTCTCCCATTGCCTTATTCTGACACAGTGAACACTGTGAGTATGTTATAGTCTCTAAGGTCCCTAGCACCATGTCTGTGGTACTATATGAATACACACAGGAAAATCACAGTTCATTGGAATGTCCCTATTCTCTACTGTTGCTTTCTTCTAGGCTAGTGTGTTACAGACTGTCTCCTTCATCAGACTTGTTGGGTTTTTTGTGCATGTGAGGTGATGGCTTTGGCAAAGTTCTTATGTCACAGCTTTATAGCTATTTGCTACTATAAGCTATAGGCAAAATTACTTTTTATTTACATCCCTCAGGATGGCATTTTGAGGCCTGATGCATACATCTTTATGCTGATCCATGTCACATTACTCAAATACTACATGCTTTTCTGCTGCATCTCTTGTTCTACTACAGAACACCTAGCCTAGAGTCCCTCTTGGTTATCAGAATTTAATTTCCTTACTTTTTTATCTTTTGTCTAATGAGTTTTTACATCCTCTAGCCTAACAGTGGTTCTACAAA